TCCTATAAAACAACTTAATAGTTTTTTAAAAAACCAATTAAATATTTATTTACATGCAACCCTGCAAACACACTCTTAAATATATTTATGCCAGAGAATTGAAAACTTATTTCACATGGAAACCAATCATAGGTATTCATAGCATCTTTATTTGTGATTGCCAAAAACTGGAAACAAACCAGATAACCTTTAATATGTGAATAGATAAATAAATGATAGTATATCTGTATAATGTAATATTCTCAGCAATAAAAAGGAATGAACTATTGATATTGATCCAGTCAACAGTTTGGATGAGTCTGATGGGCTTTATGCTGAAAGAAAAATGCCAATTTTCAGAGGTTACATACTGTATGATTCCATTCATGTGACCTTGATGTACAAAATTATATGACAGAGAATAGATTAGGGGTTGTCAGGTATTAGGGTTAAGGGTAGGTTATACATACTAAGGGTAACAAAGGAGGTTTTGTGTGTGTGTGTGTGTGTGTGTGTGTGTGTGTGTGTGTGTGTGTGGTGTTGGAACAATTCTGTATCCTGTTTGTGGTCATGGTTACATGGTTCTGCATACATGGTAAAGTTTCTCAGAACTGTACACCAAACAAAAAAGTGCATATAAAAACTTGTGAAAGTTAAATCAGCTCTGTACCTGAGTTCATAGTATTACACCGATGTCAATTTCCTGGTTTTCACAGAGTACTATAGTTATGTAAATTATTACCTTTGGGGAAAGCTGTATCAAGGGTACTAGGGAACTGCCTGTATTCATGTTGCACATCCGTGTGACCCTTAAACTATTTTCTAAAGGTTATAATAAAAACAATAGTATTAATTGTCAAGGATATGGAACAACTGGAACTCTCATACAATGCTGGTGGGAATGTAAATTGGAATAAGCTGTTTGAAGAACTATTTGTTCAGCTTTGACAGAACCATACACATACCCTATGACCCAACAATTCTACTTTTAAGTATATGCCTAACAAAATACATGTTTTTACCAATCCTATATAATAAAAGGGTAATATGCAAACTGACCCTAACAGCAGAATGACTGGTCACTATGACATACACTGACCATCAGGAGGCAGACGCTCAATGCAGGAGCTGCCCCCTGGTGGTCAGTGCGCTCCCACAGGGGGAGCTCTGCTCAGCCATAAGCCAGGCTGACAGCTGCCAGTACAGCGGTGGTGGTGGGAGCCTCTCCTGCCTCCTCAGCAGTGCTAAGGATGTCCGACTGCAGCTTAGCCCTGCTCCCTGCTGGCAAGTGGACATCCCCTGAGGGCTCCCAGGCTGCCAGAGGGATGTCTGACTGCCAGCTTAGGCCCAATCCCCGAGGAGCGGGCCTAAGCCAGTAGGTGGTCATCCCCTGAGGGGTCCCAGACTGCGAGAGGGCACAGGCCGGGCTGAGGGACCCCTGAGTGCACAAATTTTTGTGCACCGGGCCTCTAGTAGACTTATAAAGCAGCACTATTCAAACAATGGTTCATATTTTCATTGTTTTTGTTTTTAGTGTATACTTTTTTCCGTGTATACTTTAATACTGATGTTTAGTATTTTTTTAATCTAAAAATATCCTGGTTAATTTATCTCAGTGTAGACTTACATATCCCAGCCTGAATAATATTGAAGGTTAAGTAGTTGTAAAATAATTCTTAATAACAGTTCAGTCACTTGTCTGTGGTTCTTTTTGCTTTTTGTTTTTTTCCTTTTGGAGGTAAAATTAAGCAGTTTTGCTTCCCACTTGTATACTTTGACTTTTTAAAAAAATTCATTGGGGCAACATTGGTCAACATGAACATACAGGTTTCAGGTGTGGGTTTTTGTTACAAGATCTGTATATTGCACCATATGCCCACCATGCAAAGTCGAATCTTCTCCGGATATTAGGACCCCCTACTTCCCCCACCTCGTTCCGTCTGGCAGCCACCACATTGCTGTTTGTGTTCATGAGTTTCAGTGTTATATTCCACATATGAGTGAAATAATATGCTTCTTATTCTAACTTATTTCACTTAGCAAAATATTTTCAAAGGTCCATCCATGTTGTTGCACATGGCGCTATTTCATCCTGCCTCATGGCTGAGTAGTATTCCATTGTGTATATGTACCACATCTCTTTATCCAGTCCTCTGTTGCAGGACACTGGCTATTTCCATGTCTTGTCCACCATGAATAATGCTGCAGTGAACATAGGGGTGCATATATCTTTGTGAATACATGAGGTTTGGGGGTATATACCCAGGAGAGGAATTGTTGAGTCATGTGGTAACTCTGTTCTCAATTTTTTGAGGAATCACCAGTCTGCTTTCCATAGTGGTTACACCAGTCTATATTCCCATTAGCAATGAATGAGGGTTTCCTTTTTTCTACCTCTCTAACACTTGTTATTGCTTGTCTTGTTGGTATGGTCAGTCTAGCATGTATGAGGTGGCATCTCATTGTAGTTTTGATTTGCAATTTCCTAATTGCCAGTGAGGTTGAACATCTTCTCATATATTGTTGGCTGTTCGTATGTCTTCTTGGGAGAGGTGTATTTTCAGGTCCTCTGCCCACTTTTTGATTGGGTTGTTTGTTTGTTTGGTATTGAGTTTTATGAGTTCTTTATGTATTTTGGAAATTAAACCTTTACCAGAGCTACTGTTTGTAAATATCATCTCCCATCTGGTTGGCTGCCTCCTTGTATGGTTGTCCGTTTCTGTTGCTGTGCAGCAGCCTTTTGGTTTGATATTGCCCCATTTATTTATTTTTGCCTTTACTTCCCTTGCCTTTGGGGTCAAGTTCATAAAATGTTCCGTATGACCAAGGTTCATAAGTTCGGTACCTATGCTTTCTTCTATGTAACTTACTGTTTCAGGTCTTATATTTAGGTCTTTGATCTACTTTGAATTAATTTTTGTAAATGGGGATAAACTGTAATTCTACTTGTATGCTTTTAAAATAAAATATAAATAAATACATCTAATGTTGTAAATTAGACTGCATTACAATTGTTTATATGTCTGGTGTCTTGTAGTTGGTGGTCTTCTGAAGTGCACTGACCAGATATTTTTTCATCTTTTGTATTCCAAGTCTAGCTTAGCATAACTGTGATAAGCATTCTTACTAAACCCGCGCAACTCTTCATTAGTGGATTCATACCAAAGAGCTTTGAAGTTTTCTACAAAGTTTCCTTTTTTGTGTGTGTTTTTTGTTTTGTTGTTGTTGTTGTGTGTGTGTGTGCACACACGCGTGTGTGTGTTTAACCTACATAGTTTGTACTTTTCTATGTGCTTGATCCTTTTGCTGGTGTGGAATAGATGTAAATAAGTGGAGTAATTTGGGGGCAGCATTTGCCCTTAAACCTTATATATGTCCATTAATTAAAGAAAACACAGTTTGTTCTCTGTAATGAGTGTGTATTATTACAGAAGTATAAAGAAAATAAATATCGTAATCCTAGTGACCAGGGATAACCACTGTTAATATTGTATGTATGTTTTGTCTTTGTTTTGTTTTTTAATATATTTTTATTGGTTTTAGAGAGGAACAGAGAGGGAGAGAGAGATGGAAATATCAATGATGAGAGAGAATCATTGATTGGCTGCCTCCTACATGCCCCCTACTGGAGATTGAGCTGATACCCGGGCATGTGCCCTGACCGGGAATTGAACTGTGACCTCCTGGTTCATAGGTCGATGCTCAATCACTGAGCCATGCTGGTCAGGCTTTATGTTTTGTTTTTAATGAGCTTCTGTTATATGGAAGGCTCTATATCCTGTTTTTATCATATACCATAATGTCGCAGATTTTTAATGGAAATTTAAACCATTGAAGAGCCAAAATATAATTTAGTCCTCTGTATTATAGATATTTTTTGTTTTCAACTTTATGGTCTTATAAGACTTGGTGTATAAAGGCATTTTATGGAGATTGTTGAACGTTTATTATATTCCAGGGGTTTTCTCACTCTAAATTGCCAACAGTAAACAAATTATGTAGTCATCCAATAGAATCTTATGCAGCTACCAAGCATAATGTTTACCAAGAAATTTGAAGGAGTGCACATAGTTCCTTCAGCAACCCTTTTCTACCCATGATTTCTATTCCTTGCAGATAATCAATATCGACTCTTGGCAATTCTTCTGGTATTTACTTACATATGTCCTTTCTACAGTCTCTTGTGGGAATTTACCCACGTGCGCACACACATTTTTCCTCAATTATTTTCTTAGTATATATTTTTCATAGTGTTTACCTAAATCAATTTGGAGTGTTTCGTTTATTGTGAGTATGTAAATATTCATGCTGAAGCTATTTGAAATATTGTGATTACTTTTCCTTTTTTGTATACCTGTTTATTTTTGTTGAATAGTTTATTTTTACCACTTTCTCAGTTTCTATGAACCTATCACTCATTCCCAAATTCTCCTACAGAAATATAAATTCTTGTGTTCTGACACAGCAGGTAATCTAACAGTTTCTTTTTTTTTTTTTTCTCCCTTGAACGCATTCTTGGAGCTTTCTGTCTTCTTGGTCCTATTTTAGCTTCCTCGGTATCTTGCATCTATCTAATTTCCCTACCTTCATTATGCTCTATTGTAATTTCATATAAGGTACCCCTAATACACTCAATTCATGGGGCACTTTCCTTCATTTAGATGTATTTAATGCTAATAGGAGTACTGAACATAATATGGACTGTTGAGTTATACTTAAATTTTCTACATTTACTCAGAAATCTGCAAATACCTTGAATACATTATTAACATGTGATTTCCATATTTATCTTTATTCCTAATTCAGACTATTTTATTTTCCAGCATTAAGATTCTTCCTGGGCATATAAAGCTTCAATCTAATTCTTTAGACATGTCTTGTTTAATTCAGTAAGTGAGAAATGAATTCTCTGAACTCTTGATTGTTCAGAAAACTGCCTTAGGATTAAAAAGCCATAGTATAATTAAAATTTCTGTGAAACACTCATTACTAAAGCATTCATTCTGTATTTTCATTTTCAGAGGACGATTGTTTATTATTTCCACCAAAGCAGGATCTCTTGGCATTAACCTGGTAGCTGCTAATCGAGTGATTATATTTGATGCTTCTTGGAATCCATCCTATGATATCCAGAGTATATTCAGAGTTTATCGCTTTGGACAAACTAAACCTGTATATGTATATAGGTTCTTAGCTCAGGTAAGTTCATAATTTATATTCTTATTCTTTTTGTCTTATTGTAATGTTGGGTGAAACAATATTTTTGGAATGCAGAACATATATGTATTAGAGAGGCAAACAAAGTTGAAAACATCATTCCTATACATAAAGCAGCAGCAGTCAGTTTTGGCCTATCATGATTTTCTGTTTTGTCATTCTTCCATATCTATAATGTCAACTTTCTCAGACTGAGATGGATTTGCATGGGTAAGCATATTTAGCTTTTTAAAATTTTTTTAACATAATTACAGATATCCCCTGTCTCCCCTGCCCCCCTTTTTCCTTTACCCACCTCCCAGGCTTCACCTCCCCTCCCCCCGGGGGAGGGGGCTTCACCACGCTGTTGTGTCCTTGGGCTATGCATATATGTTCTTTGGCTAATCCCTTCACCTTCTTTCATCCAGTCGCCCCCCACATCTCTCCCCATAGCATTTTCTGGCTAGTTCAGGAAAGTTAAACATTTATAGTTCTTTTACTTAGCATACATAGAAAACCCAATAACTAAATCTAAATTGCTTAAAGAAACAAAGGTCAAATGATCATTGTTTTTAGTGGCCACCAGAGTCTCTTAATTTGAGGAATATGGATAAGTAAGAAGACAAAGTTAACTTATGATAATAACAAAGAGTATATAATAGTAAAGTAATTACCTTTAAATGAAAACTAAGGTATTAAAAACAGATACTGAATTTGAAGAAAAGTAGTAAAATCAGTGAGGTGGGTGCAGTTCAGAGTAATACAGGTTTATAGAATCAAGTTGTTCTTTTAACTTTTCCACCTGCCTAAAAATCTGGGTTTCTCAACCTGAGACTGGTTTTTATTGGTAGGTCCTTGCTTATTTGATGATCTTTAGTACATGGTATAATTGGTAAATACATTGTAAACTCCTTCGTATTATTTAAATTAAGAACTCCTTTTTATTCTAGTTTAAATGCTAAATATATAATAGAGATGACATTTTAGCTATATTAATTTTCTGTCCTGAAATTACAGAAAGTAAGACTTGATATAAAGTCATTTCATAGTGATTACTGAGAGCTTATTATAGTCCATTGAAAAGTTATTAAGCTGCCCTCTTGCAGTCTTACTTCAATACCCCCTAAATTCTTATTTTATGTACTCATTTATTTCTGTTTACCTTGGTATCTGACTGCTCTCCTACTTCTGCCAACTTCAGAAATATATTAAGCAACATATGAATCATATTAATAAGATAGTAGAGAATGATTTTTGTCAAAGTAAACCATATTGAATGAAATCTCCCATGAATTAAGTAGCACTGCTAATAAAATTTGCTTTATGGCAGATATGCTATGAAGTTTTGCCGTTTCATATTAACCAATAACTATATTTCCACTTGATTAAGTTTTGTGTTTGCATAATTTACTTATTTATATATTGTTCCTTCTTTTTACAAAGGGAACCATGGAAGATAAGATTTATGATCGGCAAGTAACTAAGCAGTCATTGTCCTTTAGAGTTGTTGATCAGCAGCAGGTCGAGCGTCATTTTACCATGAATGAGCTTACTGAACTTTATACTTTTGAGCCAGACTTATTAGATGACCCTAATTCAGAAAAAAAGAAGAAAAGGGATACTCCCATGCTGCCAAAGGTAAGCATCTTTAAATTAGTAGCTCAAAAAAATTCCGACATGGACTAAGGGAATTTTACTACTATAAATCTGACTACGGCTATATTTCAGAATTTTTCAAAGAGCATAAAATTGTTTATTTTTCAAATATATATTTTTATTGATTTCAGAGAGGAAGGGAGAGGGAGAGAGAGATAGAAACATCAATGATGAGAAAGAATCAATTGGCTGCCTCCTGCACGATCAAGCCCACAACCCGGGCATGTGCCCTGAATAGAAATTGAACCATGACTTCCTGGTTTATAAGTTGGCGCCTAATACTGAGCCACGCCGGTTGGGCCATAAAATTGTTTTTAAATGAAAGGATGCGTCGTTAGTTCTCCACATAACAATACAAAAAGATAGCATAATCTGAAATAAATATTTTATGTCAAATAAAAAGTTCAGCCCTGCAGAAAAAGGTTTCTGGGTAGAAACCTTAAAAGAAATTCAGGGGTGGGCAAAGTAGGTTTACAGTTATGAGTACACAAAACAGTTTATTCTTGTATTATTATTTATTAATTTGTATTTTTCCATACGAACAACTGTAAACCTACTTTAGCACCCTCCTTGTAGTATGGTTCTCTTTTAATAATCTCCAGTAGAGGGCGTACATAATTTTAAAATGTATATGAAAATTAACTATCTCTTCCGTAACATTCTTTGCTGTCGTATAGTAATTAAGAATCAGCAAATAAAAGTGTCTCTTACTTGATAGTTTTCATTGTCATAAAGCAAGTAAGACTTGGAAAAGGACCTTAAAGGTAATCTAGTGAAGCCCTCTCATTTTATAAGTAGGGAAACTTAGGGTCAGAGACATTCAGTGATTTTGTCAACAATTTTCAGCCAATAAGGGGCAGAGCCAGGACTAGTGTCATTTGGTCCACTGTCCTTAGATAAAAAAACATTTTTTAATATTAACATAGAAATGTAATATGACAGTAGATTACATTTTGACCCTTTGATCATAAGAGAAAACCATATGTGCTCTGATCTAAATAGGGAGTTTATATATTTAAACCTATTCTAGTTATCTAAAAAGCCATTCTGGGCGGAATTGTTGGGATATGGTATTCCTGTTGTTCTGGTTTCAAATTCAAACACTTAAGGTTCCATATGCCCGTTAAGAGAATTGGGAAAGCAGCTACCAGGTTACGGTGACACTCTATCAAAGTCACTTTAGTCATTTGTAAAAAAATTGAAAAGTATTTTGGTTACTCATATGGTTGGACACATTTAATGAAAGAAAAAGTTAATAGGAATAATGGCTAATGCTAATATGAATCATTTATTTTTCCAATTAATTTGTTAAGTAGCTGTTGTTACTTTTGAATGTATATATAATTGATTTCAGAGAAGAAGGGAGAGGAAAAGATAGAAACATCAACGATGAGACAGAATCATTGATTGGCTGCCTCCTGATCGCCCCCTACTGGGGGTTGAACTGCCAACCAGGAATTGAACCACAACTACCTGGTTCATAGGTTGATGTTCAACCAATGAACCACACCAGCTGGGCATGTTTTTTCTTTAAAAATATTTTAATTGAATTTATAGGTTAATAAAATTATACAGGTTTCATGTATATAATTCTTCATCTGTATATTGTATTTTCTCCAA